CTCAACACATACCATAAAAGAAGCCATGGCTGGCAGTTAATAGGTCACTGTAGAAAATCAATCAATTGGAAGATTTGTAGACTGTAGTGCAAATGCAGTTCATGATCAAGCAAACACATTTGATAGCTATTAGGATTGGAGATAATTAATGAAAAAGAACGAGGTTGATTATGATAAAGGCAAAAGCTTTGCAGATTTCATTGAGAGAAAAATGTGTACTTGCAATAACGCAAAAAGAAAAAGGGAAACATGCATGCATGTGTATATATATATATATATATATATATATATATATATATATATATATATATATATATATATATATATGAGGGTTCAATTGAGAAAAAAAAAGGTTGAGAATGGGGGATTCATTCTCAGCCAATCATTTAATTAGCATCTTAACATAAGATACACGGTGGCAAAATTGTAAATATGATATGATATCCTTCAATCACAGATACATAATTGTGGATAATTTGATAACAATTCAAATTCATTACTACTCGATCGTTCATCATCCAAATTTCTTCTCCAACCTTCAACGATCATCCAAATTTCTTCAATTAAATCCTCGATCAACATCATCCAGTGTTAATCAATCATCCATCTTCGTCAAAAACACGTTCATCAACATCATTCAACAGTAGACAAAAAAAATTGTTTTTGGTTCTTTCAATCCAACCTTCAATTATGCTTGAATTCGAGCATATCTTCAACATCTATGATTAATTATACTCCCAGTGTTATTAGATCAACATCATCGATAATTAACAACAATTTCACTTCATATCATTCATTCAACATCGATCATCAAACAAAACTTCGAAATTAAGGTTAGAAAAACATCAAATCATTTTTTTTGAAAAATTTCATATAATTCTCTATCAATCTACTATTTTATAAGTTTTAAATAGTCAAAGTATCATGTTTTTAGCATTTTTAAAAAAGCTTACTTGTATGCACTCCAACTGTTTGATGAAATGCATAAACTAAATTAGCACATTATATTCACATATGAATATGTTTTCGCACCTTAATCAGTATATGATTATTAAAACACAAAACAAATATACAATTTTATATGTTATTCATATGTGAATAACATATAACAATTATATATATTTGTGAATATACCTTGTAATATTCATATGTTAATATCCTGTGTAATATTCATATGTGAATAAACTGTGTAATATTCACATATGAATATACCATCTAATATTCATAAGTGAATATATCATCTAATACTTACAAGTGAAAATACTATGTAATCTTCAGAAGTGAATGTATCGTTTAATATTTAAATATGAATATATTGTATCATATTCACAAGTGTATATACTATATATTATTCATATGTGAATATACTGTGTAATATTCATGAATGAATATACCATGCAATATTTAGATGTGACTAGAATGTGTAATATTCACAAGTAAATATACCATATACTATTCACATGTGAATCTACCATATAATATTCATATGTGAATATAGTATGTAATATTCATTTGTGAATATACCATGTAATATCACATGTAAATATACAATATAAACAACATATATCATATAATATTCACATATGATTATACATTCATATGTGAATATACCATGTGATAATTAGAATGTGATAAATCGTTATTATTATGAACTAAAAGTATATTTTTAACATTTTTTTATGTGTATTCACATGTTTTTCAGGTATCGTTATAACTCAATAAAAGAATAACATTTCAATCAATGGTTGGTTCATATCCCGGTGGTTGACGATTGGTTGACGTAATTGAGAAGATATCATTGACGAAGACAATATGTTTTTATATTTACGTGTAAATGTTATACAATTTAATATATTCTTCATTTTGATCGTGTTAAATTTAAATGCAAATGATATTCATTAACCAATACAATGTTGTTTGTCTTAGTATAATGTTGATTTTACATGTAAAATAATATTGTTACAATATACAAAAAAACTATTCACAAACCAATTCTTATAGTGTATTATTTATTTTTATATATAAATGTTGTATTCACAAAATAAATAAATCAACATGCATAGTTTATTCACATAAATAAAAATAACAGATTACAATGATGTTTTTACTAGTGTGATTGAAGTTAGTAACATCATCAGTAAATATGTCGTAATGATTTCTAAACTTTATTCATATATGAATAAATAGTATGTCATGATGATGACACTAGTAGGAATGCAAATTTAGTGACATCATCAAAACAATTTGCCGCAATGAAGTTTAGTCTCGGAATTGGACGAAATTCGCATATTTGATGTAAAATGGTGCGATTTACAAAACTCACCGCTTCGCCGTGACGTACGGTGTTTTTCGGCCATTCGGGACTGTTTAGGGACTCAAAATGACGTTTTTCTATTTTTATAATTTTCCGAAAATAAAGTTATCATTTGTTCACAAATGAATATAACATTAATAAAAATATATATGCTTATATAATTATTTTATTAACCTAAAAAGATTAGTTGTATGTGAATAAATATATATTCTTATCAAATAATTTTTTTTCTTTAATTTTATATATTTTGTAGTCCTCGGTTTTATTGACAGTTTTATTCATTTGTGAATAATACATATATATTCACATTTGATTATTACATATATATTAATTTGTGAATATTATATATGTTCACATGCGGATATAATTCTTATATGTTATTCACATATGAATTACAAACTTGCTTAGGACCTCAAAACAATGTTTTTTTTCCAAAAAAAATACATTATCACTTATGAACAAAAAGTATGATTAATTTTTTTATAACTTAAGTATCATTCATATATGAATATAGCATATAATAAACATAGTATATTCATATTTAAATATTAGACGATGCATTCAATTGTGAATATTACATAGTATATTCACTTGTGAATATTAGATGGTATATTCACTTATGAATATTATATGATATTTTCATATGTGAATATTACATAGTATTACATGGTATATCACATGTGAATTTTACATAGTATATTCACTTGTGAATATAAGATGATATATTCACTTATGAATATTACACAGTATATTCACATATGAATATTACAAGGTGTTTTCACAAATATATATAATTTTTATACGTTATTCACATATGAATAACATACAGACTTGCATATTTGTTTTTTGTTTTAATAATCATATACTGATTCAGGTCAGAAAACATATTCATATGTGAATATAACGTGGTAATTTAGTTTATGCATTTCATCAAACAGTTGGAGTGCATACAAGTTAACTTTTTTAAAAATGTTAAAAACATGATACTTCCAATTCAAGTTATCAATTCCAAATCATCATATACTTTCGATTTCGACTTTGAAGCGTGCAATTCCGATTTTCATTTCATTCCAAAAAAAATCCCGATTCCAGATTTCTTTGTAATACTGATAATCAAGCCGCGAACTGTTCCGATTAGAATATATGTTCCAATTTCAAAAGCTTCCGACTTCAGATGCGACATCCTATGTCTGATCGATTTCACATTTTGATTTTGATTTCCGAAAATCCGATTAGGAACCTGTGAGTACCGATTCCGAGTCCTTCAATGTTGATTATGACTGCAAGTCCAGAACTCCAATTCCAATTTCATGAACAACAAAGAAATTCCGATTCCAACTGAGTTCGTTTGCGAATCTGGGAAATTCAAATTCGGAGTATTCAACAAAGAAATCGATGTTACGTATTTGAGATTGAAGGTTATTATCATATTTACAAGTTTGTCACCGTGTCTTTTATGCTTAGATTAAATGAGTGGCTGAGAATGATTCCCCAATTCTCAACCTTTTTTATTTTCTCAATTGAACTTGTCTCTCTCTCTCTCTCTCTCTCTCTCTCTATATATATATATATATATATATATATATATATATATATATATATATATATATATATATATATATATATATATATATATATATATATACACTGCAAATGTAACTATGATAATAATAGTCTAATTAGACTATATATAAAAAAACAAAACTAGATATATAAGTATGCTAACATAGCTGGCCATGAACAAACATCAAGTAATCACCAGCGTACAATTTATGAGTGAGCGGACACAAGAAAAGTATTGTTCTATTGACATCGTTATCTTTTTATTTGTATTATTTTACATTGGAAAAATTTGATGCAAAGCTATTGAAACCTTAAAATACTAGTCTATGTCTGTGCATACCTCGAAGATAATTAAACCACAACACTGACCTTGACATTTGAATTTCGGTTGTTTGCAAGTATAATTCCGATGATACCATCCTACTTATGGGGTTTAATTTCTAAAGCCTAATCACACGGATCTTGCATTAACTAAAAAGGTAAATTGTACCGAATCCGCCTCAAGATCATCATGTGAGTGATAATCGCAGAATACCAAAAGTCAAGGGATCGTGCCTGATCTTGAGCCTTATATCTCACTTTTAGGATTAATTCCACTTCCCATTGTACAATCGAGCTCCCATTGGGCGGGTTAATCTTGTGTGGACTAATGTTTGCATGGACTATTATTCTTTCCCTTTATGCATTCCATTAAGTTATATTCACTTCATGGAGCGATTACAACTCAAAAGAACCCTTGCACTCATAGGTATCTTTGCACATTCTAAATTAGATCTTTTTGATCGGCTAACTCACACACTCATAACGTACTCCTAAATCATATATGTGTCCCAAGCAGTTGGGGACACCTTTGCAACAACATGATACTGCTAAGCAATACGCGCTTTGGTTTCTTGATCAAGTTATATCAACAAAATCAAGGATTCAAATCCTATTAAGCATGACCAATATGTATTGTACTAATTATGAACTCCACACAAAAAAAAAAAACATTCATTTAATGCAAATAGATCATATATTGGTATAACAACAATGTGCCAATGTGACAACTGGTATCACTTACACACATATATATTACAAAACTATATGAAAGCACAACCTACATTTATGTTGATCAAACAAGCTCTGAGGAGTGATAAAGATTTTTTGTTTGAATGGGAAAAACAAATGGAAAGATGGCAAATATTTTCTCTATGAACTTATCCAAGCAAACTTACCTTCACTAGTTCTAGCAGTTCTCATGAAATTCAATAGTCATTGGCTACGGCCGTTAGTCTTTGTTGCAACATGGAGAGATCCGTCAACACTTGATCATTAGCCTGCAAGAATTATCTACCGAATGAGCTAGATTTGATGTTCTTCTAACTAATTAAAGCAAGCATTTAATGCATGGCTGAAATTACAAATATTAGGCGATATGTTATAAACGAACTCATATATTTACCTCAGATTGGATAGAGAGAAGTAACCGTTCGTTTACTTTAGTAGAAGTGCACGTTATGATATTAAGACCTTCTTCGGTAATCGCTTTAAGTACTGCTGAAAGAGGGACACCACCTTCTGTTGAACCACTATTGATCAAAATCTGTATTCCCCCTTTACAAGAACTGATGGAGACTGTATTTCGGAATGGATGCGTTACATTTTTTTCATTACTATTCATCATCGGACCAGGAACACTTGTCTCCACGTCTTTCTTGAGCCGATCTCTCTTGACACTTAGAACTTTAATGCTTTCCTGCATGTGTTTTATGTAGTTGACTGCTTGATGCATGTGATCCGATGTAGATCGTTTTCCCTGAACACCAAATTCAAAAATAAATAATTTAGGTCTTCGATAGTCTATGAAGTGACTCGTACGTGTGTTTCCCCCTCTTTCCAATTTTTCCGGAATGATTTATAAAAAAATTATATTATAAAATCATACGTATATGCAGTATTTTGGGAAGTAAACCTAAATTAAAGTAGCTCACCTTGACGAATTCGAGGGGAAGTAGACCTCTAAGTGAAGCATAAAGCTTTGCCATATCTTGCCTGCGCTGCCTTTCAATCTCTCTATGAACCAGTTTTCTCTGTGTATGTTCATCTTTACAATCTCCTTCCCCACCATCAGTAGTAACTGAATTAGGTTTAGACGAAGGAGATTGGTCCCCCTGTCGTTTTCTTGCCTTGCTGACTGATATGTTTGAATTGCCCTCCATGTTAACATGATTATGAAGCTCCACTATAAGATCTTGCTGATTTGTTGCCGGTTGTTGGAAGGAAATCGAACAAGGAATCTCATGAAATACCAGCTCATCACTTTGCTGGAAAGAGAACATAATATACGAAGCTGATCTTTAAGCCCACAAAGATTTGATTAACGATGTATTTGGTGGATATGTTTATAGAATACACGTTTAGTAGTGATTCCAGAGATACGTCTGGTTATGAGATCTTCAACGGTAGGGACGATGATCAGGTTATCAAGATTTCTTAATATCTTTCCTATTATTTATTAAGTAGTATTTTTGTGTAAATATTTTAAAATTCTTGAGTACCACCAGCCAAATATCTTTTTCCTTTTTTTTTTCTTTTGAAAGGACATTATTTAATGCTTTTCATTATTTAATTAAGTTTAAAAACTGTCGTTGTGAACATATTGAAACCCCATCTATCTGTATTCACACTGAGCAGTGGACCAACATCCATGGAAGCATCATTTTCACCCACTCCGTATCTCCATTGATCATAATGCTATCCGGAATGGAACCAATTTCACACGTGAAAATCCTAGGTGGCACCCCAGGAGACGCATGAACTGTTGAAAAACCAAACTAATAGACACGCAAGGAAACCGACAAATAATATTGAGAATTATGTGTCGATTAGTTGCGAATAATAGATCCAATTATTATTATTATATTTACCAAGTTTCGTCCAAAACCAGATCAATCCTTCACGATTAGATCTGATTATAAGAAAGAAAGAAGAAGATTGTCCTGTTGTTGGACGAAATTAAATGCAAGACAGAAAGTAAAATCGACCTGTTAATGGCTGATCTTGAACTTCAAATAACTGCACGGATCGGACTCCTGTCCTTAAAGGTTTTTACTTCGCTTCTACTGGCTGTAAGCAAAAGAGTAAAACCCCAGGATTTAATCCAGATCTATCGATCGTCCAACAACACTGGAAATCGACAAACACAAAGTGAATACTCGGAAACCAGAAGAAAAAACGCAGAGAGTGGGAGGGATCTTTTATTTTCGTGAGTGTCAAATGGCTCCTAGGGAGCAGTATTTATAGGTATCGAAACCCTAGAAGGCATAAAACGGGGCCCCATAGGCCGGCCCCAGAAATCCTAGGGCGACGACTTGCTCTCCAAGCAAGCCGATTCCTGATCCTTCTAGAATGCCCCGATGACTTATCCTCCACGAAGTCAACGCCGGTCAACCATTTGACCGGATCGGTCAAACCGGCTTGACCCGAACTCGTCAAAAATAAAAGCTCCTCAGCTCCCAGCGACCGATGCGTCGTGCCAAGTGCCAAGTGCGCCATTTCGCGCACTCGCGTCGTCGGCTAGTGCTAGGTTAGGCTAGGCGCGCGCGTAGGCTTGGCCCATTCCTTTGATCCACTAAAGCCTTTGAAGGCCGATCAAGGGAATAAGCTTATAAACCCACAAAAGTTTCTTCCTACCACCAATGTGGGATACAAAGGAAATAGCCAACTTGCAATTCCTTTATATATATAAAGTTCCAACAATCCCCCACCAAGTTGGAAAGTTTCCTTTCACTCAGACAGATGATGTCACTTGGGTGTCACGAAGATTAAACCCTAGTTTAATGGGAATTAAACCCTAGTTTAATGGGAACAAACAAGAAGAGACCGATTCAATGGTATCCTTATAGGTTTAAACCATGAACCTTAATGACCTCTCCGGTTTACCCCCACACATCACAAGTCATCTTTGTGTTCTCCCTGAGCGCTAATATGGCCATGCGTTATAAACCCCTTTCATGACCCTTTAGAAGATAAACCACTAATCTTCACTTGAGGCGGCACCACCTCTAGATCATATAGGCAAAGTTTTACAACATCTTCGTTGCTTAGATGTCTCCAAAACTTTGTTAAGAGTTGTAACTCAACCTCTTTCTCGGCAACGAAGTACTATCCTACTTTACATGGATCTATCATTAATGATAGTACCTTCTATCGTTAGTGACTTCGTTGTTACCCTTTAAACTTGAGAATTAGGAGCACTAATGTCAAGTTGGGTTTCCATCACTAAGCGATTCTATTGTGGTTTTAGACCCATGACTCTCGTGGTAGATGTAACTGTTGGGTTTTGAGCATTCTAACACTCCTAAGTGTACATGCAACCCTAAATACCTTGGATCTATGTTTTCTCTATTATACATGCAAATATGATTATCCAAGGTATTATCCTAACTAGCATACCAAAACATTGATACTAGGATAATAAAATAGATAGAATACATACCTTGTTGTTGTTGCTTGACTCCATGAAGCTTGAGAGCCTAGTGCCCCAAGTGTGACACCTCAAATGGTTCACACAACATCATGAACTCTTGGAATAACCATGAGAAGAAGACATACATGTTCAAATCGGCTAGCCCTCAAAATATGTATCACTAGTGCCAATTTCTTGAACTAAAGGGGTTCTTATATAGTGTGGCTATTAGGGTTACACCATGTAACTCATGACTTTACCCATTCCTTATGCTCCATGGGTTTTAACCTCCATGGAGTATCCATGGATCACCACATGGGTTAAAGCCAACATAAATGAATCTTGGATCATAAGCCCACATATATAAGAATGAATGATTTACACAATCAATCCCCATATATTTAATTAGTCTCTTTTTTATCACTAAATTAAGTCCAAATTAATTCTTGATCAATACTAATTAAATAACATGATGTCATATTAATATATTAGAACTTATAATATATTAATATGTCACAAAATGTCTTTTCCTCATAAACGGTCTATCCAAATGTTCCGATGCCATGCAACCCAAATGGACCATGCCGAGTCGGGTCAAGTACATACCAATTATAGTTATGGACTTAGACACTAATCCAACAGTCTCCCACTTGGATAAGTCTAAAACTATTATTGCTTATGACTTCAGGAACCAACTGGCAATCGTAGCTCTCAAAAGCCGCTGTCGAACTCTGACCTTGTAGATGAACTCTGACCTTTGTCAATGACTTGTCCATTAGATAAGGGATCATATATTCCTCCATTCTAGATATCATATGGACTGAGACATGGATTATAATCATTCTCTCTGTCCATTTGTTGTTTCCCGATTTCCGATTTATGACGATTGACTAATTGAACAAATCAAATCAATCCAGGCCCGACCGAGCACTTACATTTGTCATCACCAAATCATCGAGGGGCCCACATATATCGCTTTTATCCCGAAGGTAAAAGGAATGGATAAACTTCGACTCATATGGCTTGTTCTACTACTTGTTGAATCATACACAAAGGCACGTTTTATAACACCGAGTTACCGAATGTGTTTTCGTGCAATCAATGTACAACCAACTCATAGTAACAACTCATATCTCTAGGTTTGAAGAATATAAGATATTATCGTCTCATGATCACTCGTGATAAAATCCATGAAGTGATTCCAATGAGCGCGGGTTGAATCCAATACTCAGAACTTATGAGCACTCATGAGTGTTGTAGCCCCTTGTCCAACATCTTAGACCTCTACAAGCCAACCCATGACAGTCTTGATTCATATCTACTTCCAACATATGACCGACTGTGGATAGTTTGAATAACTTAGTCAATCAGGAAGAACGACCTAGTTATTCTGGAAGTCAAAACATGCAAAATGAAACACAATAATAATAGAATCTAATATGGTATCAAAACCTATGAACATAAATAAAACACCTTTTATTTATCACCATATGATTACACATTATTCATTGTATACTGTTTCAGCTATCAACTTTATTCTTGAATTTAAAACAATAGTTGTCCCATGCTCCAAGCATGTACACTATGTTTTCTAAACACTAGTCATGCCATACACCAAGTATGCATACTATGTTTGTCTATGATCTTCACTTTGTGAATTAGATCAATTGAACATAACTCCAATGATCCTCTTTCACAGTCCCAAATCCTTACTGCAAATGCTAGAATTCCAAATTCATGCCATTTACTGAAATCTGTTAGATTCTAAACTTATATGCATTGATCCTCCTGTAATGATTATGCACAGAGTCACAAGGACTTGACAACAAACATTACAGAGCATTCCAAGGAGATCAACTCCTTGGAAACATCCTTCTTACATTAAGTTTCCTAATCTTACATAGATTGAATAATTTCTAACTTTGAAACATTTCCATATTCCGTTTTGACTATCACTTCTGAACAAGAGTTTCCTCCTTACAGATTATGTCAATATGGTCCTTCCAGAATTATCATTATACTTCCAACTGTCCTTGAGCAACCAATCTTTGGTATACCTTAGATTGTCCTCGACAATTGTTTAATCCTTTTAGTCATATCCAATTCTAGACCTTTTCCCTTCTTAATGCCCCAGGCATTTGGAAAATTTTAGAAAGGATGAATATAGCACATGCAATCGATCCTATATCCGAAGCATATGGGACACGATTCATGATGTATCACATAAAGACTAAACCAGTCTTTTGCTATAATATTTCCATTTCAATTTGCCAAGTTCTCATAATTCAGATTATGAAAAGGGATGTCGTAATCATAATCAAATTTTAGAACGCAAATAATGGACCCTATATTAGAATTTTCTTATGTTGAGCCATTCCAACATAACATTCATATATATACTTGACTAAATACGATTAAAACCTCAATCTAAGCTTTTAGAATTGAAATGAAGTATAATTTCCTCTCCCTTAATTATAGCAAAACAACTTTTTCAACCCCTGCAGCCTCACGAATTGAAACTTTTGTTTTCTATAATTAACATTGCTAACTTGCAACCTTTATCATAATTATCATGCTCCCACTAACATGATGATTATTAGCATAACACTTATGCTCCCACTAGCTTTGACATGTAATCAGAAATCAGCTGGACTTCTAGAAATCAATACTTTATTGACTTTCTTACCAAAGTTCAGATTTCTGATACTAGATTGCTTTGATAAAACTTTATCAATATCATACACCTTATCTTAGATAGCTCACAGGTGTGTCTAAACAATTTTAAGAACTATGAAAAGGGATGCCATAATCATAGCCTCGATTGTTTAGACCTTTACCACTTCTCACAAGTCCATGTTAGTGTGCTGGTTAACCACACACGCTCCACTAACGACTTTGAGAATGCAAATATCACAATTGCTATCTAGCTAAAATCTACTTAGTGAAAGTGTTTCCTCACCATCATTTTCATGAATCGGAGAGAAACCTTATGACACTTAGATTTTATGGTGTATGAGTTCCTATCCATATGAATTTTGTCAAAACCATAATCACA